TCTGATCAACTTACGGTGATTTCTCAAATTTCCGATTATCCTGGATAAAAATGGTGAACTCCATGGTGGGAAGAGCCACAAGCGACATGCTTATAGGTCCTGATTGGGCCATGAATATTGAGATCTGTGATATCTGCAACCATGATCCTGTGTACGCCTTTTCCCCTTTTTAACCGTTCTTTTTCAATTTCTAGTTTATTTGATTACACCAAGTGTTCTAGTTTCTTTATTCGTCGTCTCTGTTATTGAAAATAAGTCGATAGATGCCTTATTTTGTATCAATTGGAGTAGGTTTTCGATCAGTTGGCTATCTCGAGCTGCAACTTGTTTAGAGGTGGAGAATTTAGGGTTTTTCTTACTTTTAACTTGTTGACTAGGATTTAAGAAATTAGGTTAACTAGACGATAAATTGAAGTGCAATCGAAGAACTTTAGGCTGATTGTTCTGATTATATATGTTTATTACATGATTAAGAGTACAATTTAAGAAACTATTTTACAACTGTTTCACAGGCAAGCTAAGGAAGTTGTAAAAGGCATAAAAAAGCGTCTAGGAAGCAGGAATCCAAAAGTCCAACTTCTTGCTTTAACAGTAAGCACAAACAAAACTACTTTGATTCTTCTATCTTTGTTCTTCAGGGTCATGGTATCATTTTAAATAAAACTAAGATTGGGATAATATCTCTCTCCTTATATATATCGTTTATTTTGGGGCAGGGTAAACAACTAGGAAGTGTAAACTTCCACCTTTTGTGTGGCACCTCATTGGCAAAGTATATCATACTAACTGAAGAATAAGTATGCCACACAATATCAGTTTTCTTATATCTAATTTCCCACTTTCTTTTTCTTGTTTATCATGTTAAGCTATTGGAAACAATCGTGAAGAACTGTGGCGATTTTGTTCATATGCATGTAGCTGAAAGAGATGTTCTTAATGAGATGGTGAAAATAGTGAAAAAGAAGGTTAGATTTTGCTCAAATATTCTGTAATAACTAATAATCATCTTTTTGTTAAAATCAATTAATGTCATGTAACATAATTTTGTTAAACTGCAGCCTGAATTTCATGTAAAAGAGAAGATATTAGTTCTAATAGATACATGGCAAGAAGCTTTTGGAGGGGCAAGAGCAAGGTATCCACAATACTATGCAGCATACCATGAGTTATTGGTAAGTTTTATATAAGTGACATATAAAAATTATATTTTTATATATTCTAGCTCAATATATTACATTTTTTCAGCGTTTAGGGGCTGTATTTCCACAAAAATCTGAGAGAGCGACACCTGTCTTTACTCCCCCACAAACACAACCTCTATCACAATATCCACATGACACACGTAATCTTGAAAATGGAAATGAAGCAACCGCGTCTTCTGTAGAGGCTGAGTTTCCAACCTTGAGGTATATCGTGTGTGAAAAGTCCAAAATACCCTTTTCTGGTTTTCATGTTAGAATTATGGTTATTTACTTATTTCGTTGCTTGGATTTTCAGCTTGACAGAAATGCAAAATGCACGTGGTATCATGGATGTCCTTTCAGAAATGCTTACTGCAATAGATCCAGAAAAGAAAGAGGTAAATTTCTATTTCGTGTGAACAGACTAAATTGCCCTTTTCTTTCAAATGTTGTGTCTTGATTGTGTATTGGGAACAGGGGCTTAGGCAAGAGGTTATTGTAGACTTGGTGGAACAATGTCGTACATACAAAAGAAGAGTGGTCCACTTGGTCAACTCTACTTCGTAAGACCATAATTTCAACACAATTTTTATTTTTCTTTAAAAATTTTTATTTATTCATTTTGTGTTGTGTTTTAGGGATGAATCATTATTATGTCAAGGATTAGCTTTAAATGATGATTTACAACGAGTTTTAAGCAAACATGAAGCACTTCTTACAGGAATTCCTCTTCCATCTGAAAAGTCAAAGCCTGAAACTAGTCAAACTAAAGCATTAGTACCTGTTGATGCTTCTCTTATTGATGCAACAGAAACCAAACAAAAAGGGTAATTAAAAATTAAAATTCCTTTTTATCTGTTTGTCAAATGTCCAAAATACCCTTCAAGCTCAAACTTTTGAATGATTTATCTTGTGTCACAGATCTGTTGGTGGTGGATTAGATTTGATATCACTTGCTCCTATAACAACTAATGGGACATCAACAACAACTCCAGCTAGAGTTGACCCTAAGTTTGACCTTTTGAGTGGAGATGATTTCAACTCACCGACAGCTGGCAACAATCTAGCGATTGTACCCGTGGGTTCACCGCAACCCGCTACACCCGTTTCACAGCAGAACGCGCTCGCCCTTGTTGATATGTTTTCACTAAATAACAATTCTTCTCCTCAAATCCAACAACCTCAAAACATGCCACCTCAGCAACCTGGGTTTTATCAAAATGGAAATTCTGGTTATAGTCAAGGGTCAAATCCTGCGTGGAATGGTCAAATTTTGACTTTCTCTGTTAAGTTGTTCTTTCTGTAATATGGAATAATTTAATAATTTATATTGTGGTTGGTACTATAGGTGGTGGAAGTGGAAGTGGCGGTGGACTGCCGCCACCGCCATGGGAAGCTCAGCCTGCCGACAACAACCAATCAGGTGGCGGCCCGCAATATTCTCAGCCTCAAAATTTACAATCCGCCGGAAACAGCAATATCCAGGCGATGCCGCCAATGCAACAATTCTCAGGCAGCCATATGCCGCCAGTGAACCACCAGCCGGTGTATAATCAATTTCCTCAACCACAATTCCAAGGAGGTGTAGTTCCACCACAGCAGCAAATGGCTTACTTGAATCCTCAACAAATGGCTCAGCAAATGGCTCAACAAATGTATATTAACCAAATGGGACAAGCCTATGGCGGTGGTGGTGGTGGTTATGGTGGTGGCAGTGGTGGTTATGGTGGTGGTGGTGGATATGGGTATGGGTATGGGTATGGATACGGGCAGCAACAAAATGCACAGTATATTGATCAGAGAATGGCGGGGATGTCTGTGAGAGATGACAGTTATCTGAACAGCACTGTGTACAGTGGGCCTTCAATGGCTAATGCGTCCTATGTGCACGTGCCATCTGGCAAGCCTACAAAGGCAGAAGATAAGCTGTTCGGAGATTTGGTTGACTTTGCAAAAGTCAAACCTAAAACGACACCTGGTAGAACCGGGAGTATATGACCTTATCTATATTTATGTTGTTTGGGTTTGATAAATTGTATTTTTTTTTTTGAGAAATAATTCTTCTTTTGGGGTTTATATTTGTATGCAATTATTTTTTGAGTTTATGTACATTATGTGATGGAACTTGAAGAAGTTTTTCTTCCTGAGAAAGTCTATGTATATTGTTGTGCTTTGTTCGGGATTGCCAATTATCTACAGTTTTTGATGACATCAAAATCACCTACAAGAGGTGATTGCATGTTCTTTCTAATTTCACAATGTTTTTTTTCTTTTTATTTTGGAAACAGCAAACGAATTTAAATGAAAGCTTATTCGCAATATTTTAGCACTCCCGGTTTGAACTTCTTTACAGGACAAACTCAATCTCCATAGGGATTTTCAGGGAAATTTTTTCCACATGTGTCGCTACAAGAGGTAGTTTAAGGGAATCGAACTTCCAACCTTACGCCTCACATGGGTATAAAACATATCCCAAAATAGTCATCAAAACCGTAGACCATTTAAATCGTCTACTGTTTCGCCTATATAATATGTGCTTTGGGTTTTGTTAAGGATTTTTTTTTTCATTTTTGCAAAACAAAACCTTTCCTTTGAGCGGTCTATTGTTTCGGGCAAAAATCTCCGGTTTTATTTTTTTTATTTTTTTATTTTTTTTCGTAACAAAAATTACAACATTACATTATATTAGACATTTTATACAAGCTACGGTGTACAAGTATTTAATCTTAGCACAGATGGAACTTACGTAGTGAGTTCTTTGAGAATGATGATGGACTCAAAATCGAATCAATACTCATGACCTTTGATTTGTTGGTCAAAAGTTATTTTCTTAAAGGTCAAATGTTTTGTATGGAGGGCGACTTTGGATAGAATATCTGTTACTGAAGCGCTGATCCTAAGGTGTATAATTGTCCAAAACAGAAATTGTCAGTTATGTGGAGGCACAGAAGTTGAAACTACAAATCACTTACTGATTGATTGTGAATTCTCAAAAGGCTGTGTGCTATTGGATATTTCAATGGTGCGGGATTAAACAACCACAATTTAGGAATGTAAGAGACTTTATAGACTTTGGAGTATCATGGGGGAATTGTCCCAGAAAAAGAAATATATTGACAATGATCATTTATTCTACCATTTGGAACATCTGGATTGCTAGGAATGATAAAGTATTCAAAAAGCTTGGAGTCAATCCAACCAAAACTGCAAACTGCATCATATCTCAAGCATTTGAATGGAATAAGTACAAGGGCAATGGTCTAGAAAGCTGGGCGGACTGGAATGTGTCCCCTCTTTTATAGTTAATCTCTCTTCCTAAAAAAAATGATAATCCTGTATTGTATTATCTCTTGGATGTTTTTGTATGCTTCCTATTTGTTCTTTCACCTTTCATAGCTACTTGCTGATTAGTTTTTTTTGTCTTTTATATAATTATTCGTTGGTTCCAAAAAAATAAATAAATTTGTCTAGTTATATAATTATCTGTTTTTATTGGAATTTGGACTATATTATAATTATAAATTTCAAATATCACAAGTAACAACCATATAAATAAAATATCTTTAAAAATTACCTAAAAGCTAACAAGAATTTTCGGGGACCTTGGGTTATAAACAAACTTTATATTTGGATTGGACAAAATGAAATACTTGAAATGGCGCAATGCATGCTCTTTGAAATGGCGCAAACTTTTCTATATTGGTTTTTCCTGCGAACCAACGTAACTAACTTCCATTAACGAATCGATCGAGTTTACTTTACATTTACAACCCCCAATCGCTAGGGCCTAGGGTTTATACATTATATGAATCTCAAGATATGGCGATCATAGGAGATGCTCTACGACAAGCATTCATGCCGAAACACGAGTACCAGAACCTCCGTGACGAAGACAAAGCATGGATTAAGCTACGACGGCCGATCTTCATCTCTATTTTCGTATTCTTGATCTTCTGTATTGTCATTTCATCTGCAATCAGCTTCAAAATGGTGTTCCCCAGTGATCTTCAACACCGCCCTTTCTGCAAACATCATCGTATTGAATCGACAACAAATAACGACCATGAGGATAGAGATTTCAATTTTACGGATCAACAGATTGCTTATTATTACTGGATGATTGCGTTTGTTCCTTCGGCTATCCTTTTCTCGACGACTGCTGTTTACCTTGTTGCTGGTGAGCAACTCACAATTTTAGAAGATTTTATTGAGATTCAAACGACTACTATTGGATAGAAGAATGATTGTGTTGAGTTTTAGATGATATTATACTAATTTTAGGAGAATGAGATTGAGCCAAATATTTCTAGATCCTTTCTTAGGTTTCTTATCTGCTTAAAATCTTCATCTTCAAAATTTTGCTTATCTGTATAGTCTTCGAAGAATCAGTGTTTTAATACTGAATTAGTGCCATATGTTTCAGCAAATCATCTTTTATTCAATGCTTACGTTATTAATTTCTCTACAAAAAGCACAGAAATTCAGAATTTTGTGTAATCAGAAAAGAATAACTGATCTACAGGGATGACTGTAGCTTATACTGCTCCAACAAGACATGGATTTCTAAAAGTGGTCGAGAATAACTACTGTGCTCCAAATGGAGGTAGGTCTTTTTCTTCTCTAAATTAAATAAAACTTCTTAGGGAGTCAAAATGACCATTTTACCCTTATATTCTAAAAACAAATTTCATCATATTCAATAATGTTAATGTGAGTGGGTTTAGGGGGACAAAAATAGGTAAAAAGTTAGTGTCTTAATACATTAAGCCATATGTTTTTTTGGCTTAACTCATTAAGTCAAAAGAAACAACCATGTATATTTGTACACGTTAAGTACACAGAAGAAGTTTATATTACTTTTTGTGTTTTTACAGGAGGTGTGCGATGTCTACATTTTGAATTCAATGTTTGCAATAATGTTTGGTTTTGTAGCAATATTTTTTGGTTTAGTTCTCCTTACAAGTGAGAGCATTTGTTCATTACCATTGTTTTGGTGTTATGAGGTTCAATGGTGGGGCCTAGTTACTCTATATGGGGCCACTGCCTCCTTGTTAAGAAGGAAAGCTGCCATGATTCTTGATGATGGTGACATTGATGGGCATAACCAGATTATTGGAATAGAAATGTTGGAATTTGGTGATGTGGAAATGACACCGGATGTTGAGAGACGAATTAATCAAGGGTTTAGATCGTGGATGGGAACATCGTATTTGTCTTCTGATGATGAAGATGAAGATGAAAATGGTTAGATTTTGAAGGCAAAGAGTGTTAGATTCATAGATATGTACAAGAAATAGTAATTATAGAGACCAAAATTAAAGCAACAATTTGTATCATAACCGAAAGTTGCAGCATAGTTTTGTAGAAATTGAGAACCCCGACATCGTTTTGATTTGATGCTATGTTTATCGAAATACCGATTATAGTATGATACAATAACGGAATATGAAATATAGAAAAGTTAATATATAAATTAAGAAAAGAAACTAATATGAAAGATAAGATCATAAAAAATGAAAACCGACTTGTGATTTTCCAAGAATTCATTGGAACAAGATAACGTTTTTTAGGTGCATTGAAACCAAATTGGAGCACTCTTGTTTCCACACAACAAAAGAAGAAAATTGTCAAAAAAAAAAAAGACAACCCATTCACCTCCAAAAACACTCGAACTAGACTAAACCAATCGGGTTTGGTAGGGCCTGGTTTTGGCAAGTTTCAGGCCCATTACGAGTTGGGCTGACAAACCCGGTCCCAATGTATAACGCTAATTACAACAATAAGGAAGTTAGCGGGCTTTGTGTAATGGCTCGAATATGTTGTGTCATGTTGACCGAGAAGACAGAATACCATGCCACTAGTTAGATCGACATTGAGATGAAAATGGCCGCCTATGTTGTGTCATTTTAATAATTTCAAATTTAAAAAATTTCAAATTATAAAAGTTCAATGGCGGGTTTATGTAATGGCTCGAATATGTTGTGTCATTTTAATAATTTCAAATTTTAAAATTTTCAATTACTTATTTTCTTAGGATATTTTAAGTTTTTAAATAGTTTTATTAATAATTGATAGTCCCACGGTCTAGATTGATTAATCCCTAACCCATTCCGCCGAGCTACCATCTAAAGTTTTTTTTACAACCTTGCTAAATATACATCTAAAAAATCTCACTTTTACTAAAAAAAAAAAAAACCGGTTCTTGCACCCATTTTTATAAAGGTGTCAATCAACGACACACCACTACAAAAATATAAAAAATATAAAACACGAAACGATAATTTGGATGAATTGAAATTCAAATTCATGTAAACCACATACACCAAAAACCAAATTTCTATCCAGATTTACAGATTCTACAATGGTCTAAAAGTAAGATTCGATCGACCTGGGAGTATATTTGTTGCTTCCAGAATCGATTTAGGAGCAGTACAATCTCCATTATCAATCTGAAAATCGTTTGCATCTGGACATATTAACATGAATACTTTGCTCCCTCGACATTTGTGCCCAAAAGTGTGCTTTTCTCTACAGTATAAACATTGGCTGTTCTTCCTTTTTTTCTTCATATTCTTTTCTCGAAAGTTGTCTGATAAACCCGTTTTCTCCTTTGATTGCAGATGAAGACTCCCCCTCTTCACCATCGCCATCTACTTGTTCATCTGGTCCAGATCCCTTGACCTCCTTCTTATCCTGTGTTATTACCATGGATTTAACTGCCGATGATAATTCTTTGAGACTTGACTGAATCGATTTCAAGGTTTCATCCTGGCTATCGATCCTTTTGTTTATCTCATCAAATCTATCTCTCCATCAGTTGAGAATTCGTTACCCTAGCAATACACCACAGGAATAGGAAGGGTGCTCCGATACCACTGTTAGCAAACAATGCAGATTCAAGCTTAATCAGACGGAGAAAATGGTGCTACTCTCTGTTTTCGTAAAAACGTGTAGATCTAAATAGTTAAATCAGCTATAACAGAAAATAGTATCACCAATAATGAACACGTTAAAGAAAATAGTTATTTCCAGAATATACAACATATCACCAGCAAGATGAAGCAGATGAAATCAGCTTAGAAGATGAGACAGAGAAACAATGTTCTTACACTCATCGGCAATGATGATTGATGAAGCAGATCAGATCAGCGAAGAAGATAGGATAGAGAAACAATGTTAACTAACATATTCACCAGCAATTTTAAAAAATTTCATATTCAAAATGATATTGAACACATGAGACGGAAACAAAGGAATTACTACCTCAGCGAAGAACATGAATCACATGAGCAGATCATATCAGCAAAGAAGATGAGCTGAGAAGATGCAAATATATCAAGGAAGACGCAGATGAACTGAGAAGATGCAGCGACGAGGAGTAGATGAACCGAAGAAGATGAATCGAGATGATCAGCGAAGAAGACGAACCGAGAAGATGAAATCAACGTAGAAGATGAGTGTGTTGCTGACAGACTCCGGGGGACAACCAGCTGCTGTAGAAATGGAAGGGTCTAGGCAAGGTTGAAAAAATAGATGGTCTCTCTCTCTCTCTCTCTCTCTCCTTTGCAAGCACTCTCAAGACGAAAAGTGTCTGTAGGTAGAGCAAACCTTATTATTCTTAATGCCTTGATGTTACTCAGCAACTTGTCTTTCTCATCCTAAGCAATATCTGCATGATCCACAAGAAGTGCATTGTACTCAGCCAAGGTCTTGATAGTCTTCCTGGTTGTCGTATGAGAATATGTTTCTTGTGTCATAGCTTGCCATATGGTGGCTCCATGTTCTTCAAGACCTAGAACGTAGTCGTCAAAGAGCAGAGCCCATACCTCGTAGCCCTATGGGAAGAGAATATGGATCCTGGTGGTAGATCCGATATTGCTAGAAAGATTGAAAGAAATATTGTGGGGATCTTCGTGCTGCATGATGATAATTCACAAAAACCTGTATGGAATCAGATGTGTAAAACAATGATCGAGTTTATGGTAAAATAAGGACTCAGATCTGACGTCGACAGTCGATGAAAACGATGATGACGACAATAACAGATCTAACAAAAAACGGAAAACCCTAATAAAACTCGACAGAAGAGTTGCATATGAGTTACACAATCTCCTGCTCTAGAAACCAATTGTAGGAACAATAATATAAAGATCGATAGATTCCAAACAGTAAAGTGAATCAATAAACAAAAACAATGATCAAAGATGTGACGAATGCTTAATATTATCAAAGCTTTAGAAGAGTTCGATGTGAACTTTTATGTAAAAGCTAAGTAGGGCCATACAATTGATAACCCTAAAACGATACATGCACATACTATAAATAGTCTAACCCTATTACCATAATGATGGATGGACAGACCCAATCCGTTAATAAAGACTAAATACGTACATAATAAATTTGACACAACTTAATAAATAACCCAACAGAGATACCACAAGGCTAGAAGCCAGATCAGAAGTTAGTATTCACTAACTAGTCAGGTGAATACATGTGGATTTTCCCATCTGGGGTACATGGCATATTAGTAATATTTTTATGAAACATTTTAAAATGATTTGGAAATGTTTTATTATTAAAAAGGTAATAAATCCTAACTAACGGGTAAATGGACTCTTTATCTAAAGAGTAAGTTAAATGTTTTGAAAGGCATATGGTTTGAATAAATGAACTCTTTTATGAGTAATGGTTAACTAGCAATGATTTATTACACATATTATTGAAAAGGTTTAAAGAACTATATTTACAGTTATATTATGCTCAAATGTTTTACTATGCAATGTTATTATTGAATGTGAATGTGCATGAGCATCAATTATTTAGGCATGATTGAGTCACTTAAGGAAAAGTAGTAACCATGCATCATATGAGCAAATTGCATAGTCTTGGAAATGTTTCCGGCTTTTGAAATGTGAAATGTTGCCTAGGGATTCGCATGGGAACCAATCACGGGGCCTGCTTGGATGATATGTTCTCCGAAAAGGTCAGCGTATGTGGTCACTTATGCGAATGAGCCCAATTTAGCGGAATCCTTATGGACATTTTAATAGAAAAGAGTCTCTTATGCGACTGAACCCAATTTGGGTGGTCCTTATGGATATTTTATTAGAAAATGGTTGCTTATGCGGCTGAGCCCAATTTGGGGCAGTCCTTATGGACATCAGATTCAGTAAATAGCTGAGACTCGGGATGTCTCGATAAGTCTTGAATTAAGTGAGGACATGCATATCATGCTTTGCATTATGTTTATAAATGCATGTCAAATTATATTTTTATCATACGATTTTGATAATGTTTATGTGTCTAAACCCATGTAGATCATGAGACAATGATTGTCTTACGAATGTGTTTAAATGTCATGTATTACATGTTTTGAGATACAACTTAAAGAGCTAAATTAGGACAAATAGTAGAGATCCAATGGATAAAACCGAGCATAGATTCCCTGACGTAAACAACCTTGCTGCTTTACTCTGGTTTATTGTATCGATTGTAATACCCAAAGGAATATTTTTATAAATGTATTTGTAAATGAAATGAAAAAAAATATGGGACCATATTTTATAAATGGGACCCCTTGATAGAAATTGTTTTAAGAACTATAATATTTCAATGGGTAAAAGATCGATGTTACAATATATGTCTCTAAACCAATGTGCATACAAAAGAAGAGCATTTAGATTGACCGTATCTTTATACGTATGCTCAATTAAACATGTCCAGATGAACACATTCCAATATAATTTCATCTATTTTCACAATCAAAACAAATGGAACAAAATTAAGGGTTTTAGAAACAGAAAAATAAGGCATATATTGATGTAGAGAGGAAGAAACATGTAACATCACAAATTTCAAGCCCAAAATTTTCATTTTTAATTAAGTAAACCACCATATAGTTTACCAGAACATTTCCCATGCCATGTTATTTGTAAAAAGAAATATAACAATGTGTCTGAAAATCATATTGTCAAAGTAAAATAAATCAGAGTACATTCCCAGAAAACTCCATGCGGAAATCATGTGTGTGTGATGCGCTGCTACACCGCCAGCTCCTTCCCCTTAGACGAAGAGGTACCTGCAACCAAAACTAAAACTGTAAGCACAAAGCTTAGTGAGTTCCCCCATCATACCACATACCATACAATCACATATCATATAAACTGCCGGGCAATTCTGGGGCGCCCGTCCTACCCATGTCAAGCCATTCTGGGGTGCTGACCTACCCATGTCAAACCATTCTGGGGTG